ATATGTTAGATTTGCTTTAATTCTTTTGATAAACTTATCAAATAGATGGAAAAATTAGACATAATAATTATCTTTCTAGATATATTAAAGAATATTTAAGTAAAATAAACATTAATTTTAAATATGTTTACTACAACTTGTACTTTTATGATGGAGTCAAGAAAAAAATATTAATATTCAAGATGGTCAGCGCTGAAACAGAAATATTTTAGAGGTTTTGAGAGTCACTCAATTCTGTGTAACTAACTATCCTTCGGAACTTGATTTTATTTTTTCTGTTTCAAATGACTTAATTGCAGAACTTTAATTTAACACTAAATTTTAATAATGTTTTTCTCATATTTAATAACTGTAAAGGAGAAAAATTGTGAATAAAAGAACTTTTAGATACAAATTAAAAAAATTGTGCTTTGACTTGCTTGGCCAACTCAAATATAATAAAGGGAAAGGTTTGATAAAAGTGTATGAATAGCAGTTAGATTAAATTTCATAAGGTTATTTAAATGCGAGATTTAGTATTTTGAATGAATTCTTCGTATATATTCTAAAATACTATGAAATCTAATTTAAAAAAGAAATAATTATTTTATTATTTTAATTACTTTTCACATAAAGCTAGATAAAGAAAATAAGAATACCCTTTTAATTTTGAGTTCATTAATCATTTGAATAAGACGATAATTTACTTTCATAATATATGTGAATTTCTTTATATTTCTGCTAATTTTGTATATTGAATTATTTTTGATTTATTGATTATCTTCATATAAATGAAAATATAACTATGCAATCAAGGATAAATGTATCGTTACAATTAATAGAGAGTGCCTGATAAGGAAATGTTAATGATTCATCATATTACTTTAGTAAACTTATTTTAATTTAATTAAAATACATTTATAAACATTCCATTTTAAAATAAAGATGACGAAATTTACATTTATAAAGTAATGAATTCATTTCACACAATCTATGAATATTGTATAAAAACATAATTTTTATGAATATTCTAAATTTAATAAGTAATTTAATATAATAAATTTATGAATAATTTAATATAAACAAAGAATTCTAGACTTACATAAAGTTTCTTTACAATTATAAGTTTTTTAAATTTCATATTGTATATTAAGTTGAGCTTAATTAATCTTGGATACATATATCATATAATTAGAAAATTTCTTTGTAACATAAAGGAATATTTATAAATATAAATTCTTAAAAATACTTTAAATTCAATCTTTTTATTGTGTATTTTCGAAGAATTCAACCTTCAAATGTTGTATTGATATCTAATAGGCAAATAATGATCAATCACAAACAGCTATAAATCTTTACTAATTTAGATCCTCAAATAAAAAAGATAATTTTTGATTTTTTAAAAAAAACTCTAATCTACATTAACAGAAATTTAATATTTATTTAAAAAAGAAAATGAATGACCATAGTGTTTAGAAAGAAGATCTAAAATGGATTTTCGCTAAGGTTAAAGGTGTGGATGAACAAATATACTGTTAGATAATTGAGATGTTGAGAAAAGAGAATGCTTATGACTGGATAGGATATCTGTAAGATTTCGCAAATCAAAAACACTTGGATGAGTACATTTAACAAAGAGAGAATTTAATACAAAAAGAAAACTATTAGAAATTGCGTGCTGTTAGAGATAACATCCAATTTGTTATTTATCTCATTCTTCAAATTAAAGATCATGACTTTAATAAAAAAAACTATTCTGATGAAAGATATTTGAAACAAAGTCAGGATCTAATTAAAAAAATTAAAGATTAGAAGGAGCTAATTGGATTCCTGAAATTCTTAGTTCGCCTTACTGCCTAAGATGACTATTTAATATAGAGTGGATCAAACTCATTATATTTATTAACTTAGATAAAGGAGGATCTTAGATATGAAAATTTTGAAAACATCAAAATATAAAATATTTCTTTAGTGGGAGCGAATTTAGTAGGATGCAACTTAAGTGGATCTTAACTTTCTAATGTGGATATAAGTGGAATGAATTTAAATGGAGCTTTATTGTTTAATTGTAAATGGAGAAATATAAAAATACATGAATTAAATAGATTAGAAGGTCATACTCGTTGGGTCTACTCAGTATGCTTCTCTCCTGATGGTACTACTATAGCATCTGGTAGTAATGATCATTCTATCCGTTTATGGAGTGTTAAGACAGGATAACAAAAGGCAAAATTGGATGGTCATAGTAAGAGTGTTCACTCAGTATGCTTCTCTCCTGATGGTATTACTTTAGCTTCTGGTAGTTGGGATAACTCTATCCGTTTATGGGATTTTAATACAAGAAAAAAAATAGCCAAATTGAATGGTCACAATAGTAATGTTCAATCATTATGCTTTTCTCCTGACCGAAATACATTAGCATCTGGTAGTAAGGATAAATCTATACGTTTATGGGATATTAAGACAGGAAAATAAAAGGCAAAATTGGATGGTCATAGTCATGATGTTCGATCAGTTTGCTTCTCTCCTGATGGCATTAATTTAGCTTCTGGTAGTGTAGATAAATCTATCCGTTTATGGGATGTTAAGACAGGACAATAAAAGGCAAAATTGGATGGTCATAGTCATGATGTTCGATCAATTTGCTTCTCTCCTGATGGCATTAATTTAGCTTCTGGTAGTGTAGATAAGACCATCCGTTTATGGGATGTTAAGTCTGGATAATAAAAGGCCTAATTTGTTGGTCATAGGAGTTGTGTTAATTCAGTATGCTTCTCTCTTGATGGAAATACTCTTGCATCTGGTAGTTATGATAAGTCTATTCGTTTATGGGATGCTAAGACTGGATAATTAAAGGCCTAATTCAATGGTCATCTTAGGGAAGTTCATTCAGTATGCTTTTCTCCTGATGATACTATTTTAGCTTCTGGTAGTTGGGATAACTCTATCGGTTTATGGGATGTTAAGACAGGATAAGAAAAGCCCTAATTAGATGGTCATAATGGATAGGTGTCATCATTATGCTTCTCTCCTGATGGCACTAGCATAGCATCTGGTAGTTATGATAAGTCTATTCGTTTATGGGATGCTAAGACTGGATAATTAAAGGCCTAATTCAATGGTCATCTTAGGGAAGTTCATTCAGTATGCTTTTCTCCTGATGATACTATTTTAGCTTCTGGTAGTTGGGATAACTCTATCGGTTTATGGGATGTTAAGACAGGATAAGAAAAGCCCTAATTAGATGGTCATAATGGATAGGTGTCATCATTATGCTTCTCTCCTGATGGCACTAGCATAGCATCTGGTAGTTATGATAAGTCTATTCGTTTATGGGATGCTAAGACTGGATAATTAAAGGCCTAATTCAATGGTCATCTTAGGGAAGTTCATTCAGTATGCTTTTCTCCTGATGATACTATTTTAGCTTCTGGTAGTTGGGATAACTCTATCGGTTTATGGGATGTTAAGACAGGATAAGAAAAGCCCTAATTAGATGGTCATAATGGATAGGTGTCATCATTATGCTTCTCTCCTGATGGCACTAGCATAGCATCTGGTAGTTATGATAAGTCTATTCGTTTATGGGATGCTAAGACTGGATAATTAAAGGCCTAATTCAATGGTCATCTTAGGGAAGTTCATTCAGTATGCTTTTCTCCTGATGATACTATTTTAGCTTCTGGTAGTTGGGATAACTCTATCGGTTTATGGGATGTTAAGACAGGATAAGAAAAGCCCTAATTAGATGGTCATAATGGATAGGTGTCATCATTATGCTTCTCTCCTGATGGCACTAGCATAGCATCTGGTAGTTATGATAAGTCTATTCGTTTATGGGATGCTAAGACTGGATAATTAAAGGCCTAATTCAATGGTCATCTTAGGGAAGTTCATTCAGTATGCTTTTCTCCTGATGATACTATTTTAGCTTCTGGTAGTTGGGATAACTCTATCGGTTTATGGGATGTTAAGACAGGATAAGAAAAGCCCTAATTAGATGGTCATAATGGATAGGTGTCATCATTATGCTTCTCTCCTGATGGCACTAGCATAGCATCTGGTAGTTATGATAAGTCTATTCGTTTATGGGATGCTAAGACTGGATAATTAAAGGCCTAATTCAATGGTCATCTTAGGGAAGTTCATTCAGTATGCTTTTCTCCTGATGATACTATTTTAGCTTCTGGTAGTTGGGATAACTCTATCGGTTTATGGGATGTTAAGACAGGATAAGAAAAGCCCTAATTAGATGGTCATAATGGATAGGTGTCATCATTATGCTTCTCTCCTGATGGCACTAGCATAGCATCTGGTAGTTATGATAAGTCTATTCGTTTATGGGATGCTAAGACTGGATAATTAAAGGCCTAATTCAATGGTCATCTTAGGGAAGTTCATTCAGTATGCTTTTCTCCTAATGGTACTATTTTAGCTTCTGGTAGTTGGGATAACTCTATCCGTTTATGGGATGTTAAGACAGGATAATTAAAGGCCTAATTGAATGGTCATCTTAGGGAAGTTCATTCAGTATGCTTTTCTCCTAATGGTACTACTTTAGCTTCTGGTAGTTGGGATAACTCTATTCGTTTATGGGATGTTAAGACAGGATAATTAAAGGCCTAATTGAATGGTCATCGTAGAGAAGTACACTCAGTATGCTTCTCTCCTGATGGGAATACGTTAGCATCTAGTAGTAGAGATAACTCTATTCGTTTATGGGATTTTAAAACAAGAAAGAAAAAGACAAAATTTGATGGTTATAGTAAGTAAATCTCATGTGTATGCTTCTCTCCTGATGGTACTACTTTAGCTTCTGGTAGTGATGATTATTCTATCCTTTTATAGAATGTTAAGACAGGATAATAAAAGGTCAAATTGGATAGTCATAGTAGGAGTGTCCACTCAGTATGCTTCTCTCCTGATGGTTTAATATTAGCATCTGGTGGTGAAAATTTGTCTATCCGTTTATGGGATGTAAAAACAGGATAAGAAAAGGCGCAATTGAATGGTCATAGTCGTCATGTCATGTCAGTATGTTTCTCTCCTGATGGTACTGCATTAGCATCTGGTAGCGATGATAACTCTATCCGTGTATGGGAAGTTAAGATTGAATAATAAATAGCCTAATTGGATGGTCATAGAAGTAGTTTCCACTCAGTCTATTTCTCTCATGATTATTCTACATTAGCATCTTGTAGTAATCAAAAGTCTATTCGTTTATGGAATGTTTAGACTGGGAAGGAAAATAAACCTACAGATAACAGTTATAAAAATATATTAGCTTAATTCAAAACTTCATTATTTTAAAGTAAATCCCTTCTAGGTAGAAATTTTATATTTTTTAGCAACCACCAATCTGAATATTCTACTAATATCACAACAAGCAATTTTTTAAGCGTCAGGTGCTTTAATTTTAAAAGGTTAATTTGTAAATTAATAAGGGATTGATTTACAGGCATTATTTTAACAAAAACGTAGTTGTATTTTAGAAAATCAATAAAACTCAAAATAGAATTGATTTATTACTATCTACTTATATTAATTGCATATTTAAACCTTCTTGTTTATAGTTTTATTCTTGGTTTTATAAGATAATCTAAGAAATTTTAATGGTTTGATTTGGGAATGTAAGAAATGATAGTGGTATTATATTAGAATGTATCATAAAATTTAAGGAAATTATTATGGGTATTAATAAAAAATATTTAAGAAATAACTGATTTGGTTTATCTGGTGATTGTTGCTTCAAATGTTCTTCTCCCTATTAAAATTTTTTTGCAGGAAAATGTATATGAAAAAGTAGAGTTCATATTTTTTATCGGAAATTCTAAGGTTAAACGTTGGTGCTATTATGAGCAATTAGTTTAGCATCCCCCTTTGGTTAGCCAATAAGAGGATCATGCTTGCGTAAAATGACTTTGACTTTATATGATCAATACATATCATCAGTCTCATTTATCAATTTACCAGATCTAATTTATTTATGTTCAAGATTTGCCAATGTAATATGCAGTACCTTCTCTTCTATTTGGTTAGAATTCTCCATATTTTGGAATAACTGAGAATTCTTAATCAGAAGATTGAGTGAAAATAGGCTCTAAAAGTCGCTAAATGTTTCGTACGATTAGGTTTTATGAATGAAACTTTAGTAGAATTATTTAGTGGACTATTGATAATAATAAAATCATTTATGTCAGGTTCTCTAGCATCCAGATTCATGCTAATGATTGAATCATTCTCATTTTTAATTTTCTCCTACATTTGTTTTCTAATGAAATTCTCTTTCACTTGATAATTAGAAAAGAGCAAACCATCTGCAGTTATCACCAAGGGCAAAAAGCTTTTATTTAACTTCTGGATGATAAGAATTAAATTTATATTGATTTTGAAAATATAATAAATAAACATTTAAAAACCATTTAATAGATTTCATAAAATAAGAAATTTCTCATTATAATTGGTTCGTTGTCTTTAAAGCTCTCAAATTGAAGCTACGGCGTAATTTAGATTGATCATTTAATGAAATAAGAAGAATTTTAAAATTACAGTTTCTAGCATAATAACTTTTAAATATTATTAAAATCATCAAATTATTAATAATAAAATATAATTAAAAAATAGAAACCAGAAAGCCAGTGCATATTGAGTATTAAGAACATAATAAAATAAAATAAAAAT